TTGAGATTTGGTTTGGACTAGTCTGTTTTCTCTTTGAGATTTGGTTTGGACTGGTTTGTTTTTGGTTTTGTTTGGTCTATTTGTGTTTGTCTGTCTTTCTTTGTCTGTCCCCGACCATCATGGGAGAAATGTCTTCTGTGTCATCAACACCCCCAACTTTGGTCCTTAACTATTTTAAAGATTTCAGAGAATGAGCAAAAGGGATTCAGAGAATCTGCATTTCCTGGCAAATTTCAGGCTTTTTGTCAATGTGAATGGCCCTCCTTTAATGTCTCTTGGCCTCCTGAGGACATTTTTGTTCTCTCCACAGCTCAGGCCTTCGCTGAGTCATTTTTGACCTGCCTGTCCATCCAGATCAGATCATCTACATATAAGTCTGGATTGACCTCATCCAGGATCCACCCACCTGCACCCTCTAGGGATCCCCTCCTAGCCCCCCTGAAGGACTTGAGCTGACATCCTCCACCATCCATTGCTGACCCCCTGAAATGACTCAAGGCTTGCTGTTCTGGACTATAGACAACTGACTAATCCCACTTGGTCGCACTGGCAGCTCTAACTGATAAAAAGTGGCTATGACTCCCTACCATCACCCTCAGAACCTGCTTGTTCCACCTGCCAACCAGTACTAAATTCATTATATAATTATTAAAATATTGGTCAAAATGTGTTGGTAAATTTAAGCTAAAATATAAAATTGGTATAAGGTTATGATATTTCTTTAATAGGACATTTTTATGACTTTTATATTTGTATATGCTACATTTGAACTAGTTGTTAAATGTACTGGTATTCTTTGTTCAATTTTAGACAATAGCACTAAAGGGTAAAGTTACTAAGATTCTTATTGGATTTTATATAAACTTCTGTAAAATAAAACTTTAGCCAACATGCCTATATAAAAAACAGGACTCCTTTTGCCAGTTAAATGACATTAGGTCAGCAACTGTTCTTAAAGACTTGGAGGACAGGTTTCACTGGGATAGACTGGTTCTGATCCCCCTCTACTTATTAGAGCGAATGTCGGGCCTGATCTGCTTCAGTTTCCTTGCTTTGACTATATTCCTAATTTTCCTATCTCTTTATACTTTCCTTTTTTAAAAAGTATGTAAAAATTAAGAACTCTGACTGTTCCAGCTAAAGTAAAGTCCTTAAAAAATGAGCGTTTGTTAACGTCAAAGACAAGAAAATCATTCTAGGAAAGGACACATACCCCGTCTCTGGGTCAGATGAGACAAAGAGAAACTATGCCCATCCAGGATGACACATATAAAAGCCATGTCCCGGCTTAGTGTTCTGGGCAGGTCCCTTTTGGGAGACTAAACCTGAGACACAGTGGAGAGAACCAACTTCTGGGTGACACCAGAAGGAGCTATCTCCCAAACCAGCACACTTATGGGACCAAAACACATTTAAATATTAAAAAATTGACCTTTTCTCCTTAAGTTATCATTTATCATTTAATTGGATAAAAGGTAAGTTAAAACATAAGGCTTTTATTGTAAAGTGCTCAAATAATCTTGTTTGGGCTTTTAAGATATTCCTTATAAAATTTGGATAAACAGTGGTTACTCTGCCAGCTAGTAAATGTTCTTAAAACAGCTACAAGTTTTGGCTTCTGTGAAAGGATGGATGTCATATTATTAATCTTAAGCAACCAAAAGATAAACAACCAGTCCATGGTTTAGCTGCAACAGGAACTACCTGCTCCCACTGGAGCCCAAACAGTCAGACCCCTGCTGGCCAAATAGCCAGGTGGGAGATTATAATAAAAAAAAAAAATATTTTCCAGTATATATTCTTAAAGGTCTAAGAAAACCAAGGCCAAACCTTCAGTTATTAAATTTCAGCTATTTACCAGAAAAAAAGATAAACACCCCTCTGACTTCCTAAATATTTGGGTAAAATATATTTTTGAGATGCTAATTCAGTGAAGGGACAGATTGCTTTTATCATTACTTAGTCAGTTTCAAAGATTAAAAAAAAAATAGAAAAATAGCTTTTGCTCCAGACAGCTCACTTGATATTTTATGATAGAGAAAGAAAAAAAAGTGTCCTATGATTAAAACTGGAAGAGAACCAAGGAGAAAGAGCAAAAAGACCAAAAATGACTACCCTTGTTGTGGCCTCAAAATAGATCCTAAGACTGATTCTCTGGGCTCCAAGAAGATCTCAATGACAATAAAGCTCATCTGCTGTAAAATCAGGCCAGCATAAGAGAAACTACCTTGAGAGGCCCATAAGTCATGCCCTGACTGCCAAGGCAGCCACTAAAAGTGAGACTGCACTCTGAGGCGGAGGCCACAAGGCTCAGATTCAGCTTCCCCAATGGTCCAGTAGGACTAAAGGGCACTGGGCCTGCCTCCTCCCTCTGGCCAAACTGTCATCTCTATTTGTCATCTCCATGGAGGAGCCCTGAGTAATCATGACTACAAAAAAAAAAAAAAAAAAAAAAAAAAGCAGCCCATTGCTGGATATTGGCACAGGTCTTTTTGTTTTTCTCCAACCCTGATCTTTATGCCAGTCATTGTCATCTTATTTTAGCTATAATTAAGATATATTGTTCATATATAGATAAAATCCTGTCAATGTAAAAGTGTCCAATAGTAATTGGGCATATAAATAAATCCAGGCCTTGTTTTTAAAACATTAAAACTCAGAACCAATGTAAAAAATAAATTCCTCCATAGTGCTCCTTGCTTACAATAGAAGTCATATCCAAAACTGAATGGGACATTGATTTAATCTGACTAAATATTATGTATTTCATAATAAGTAAATTAAGTTAGCCTGGTTGATTTTTGATGTATTTTATGCTGATAGTAAACACAAGTGTAACTAAAAAATATGTCAAACTTAAAATATTAACAGTAATAATAAAATATTAATCTGGTTATCACATATTCTCAAAATTAAAAATAATTAAAACTAGAGGGACTTATAGTAAACTGTCAGACTCCATAAATAAAAAGATGTAAGAGCTAATGAGTTATGATTGCTAGGTCTCAAAAAGGTTTATAAATGTACTTGTTAGCTCAAATGTTCTAATCGCTCAAAAAATTGTTCTGTCCTAGAAGATACTAAAACCCAAGTAACCATATAGGTAAGATCTAAAACCAAAAGGTTATATGTTGCTCAGTGAGCCCCAGATATCTGACACAAGCTACAGAAGTTGAAAAGTTTACAGGAATAAATTTGTCTGAGTTGAGATGTTTCATAGTAAAAAGGATACAGAATGGAATTATAGATGGAAAATAAAAATGATACAGAATGGAATTATAGATGGAAAATAAAAATGGGGATACTAGCAGCCTATTTAAAAAAAAAAAAAAAAGTCAGTCAGAAAACGGGAAAAATGCTTTCCTGGATCCAGACACAGAGGAGGGACATTAAAAAAAAAAAAAAAAACCAAAGCTGCTAGAAAAAGAAAAAAAAAATGTGTTTGTGATGGAGTCAGAAGAAGTTTCAGATTGAGGTGGTCATGTGTCTTCCCTCTCAGCCTGAGGGAACCCATGTTAACTGCCAGTATAAGAAAAAAGCCTGTAAAACTTTCAATAGATGCTTATGCAGATTTGTCGGTAGTTACCCAGACAGCGGTTCCACTTACAAACTGGAAAGTACTTGATGTTGTCCCTATTTCTGACAATTCATGTGCCATAGGTAATAATAAAATTAATAAACCATAAAAGGCCAGTTTGAGACAATACCCAGTGGCCATAAATGATAAAAAGATTAAACCTCACATTTAAGAGCTATCTGCTAATAGACCTACAAAATGTTCTGACTAGTGTTTTATAATTACAAACTTTAAAAGGTTATTACATTCCAAATCTGTTAAATGATTACTGTATCATGTTGATGTTATTGGTTGTTTGTTTCTTTGGCTTTGCCTCTTCCAGATTTAAAGCTATTCCACCTATCCAAGATAAAATCACTTGGTGTTTACTGAGGGCCTTTACGTAAAACCTCTAGAGAGTATCTCTAACTGACAGACAACAACTATAACCTTTTTCAGCCTGAAGAAAGCAGAGCAGTCATTGCCCACAATCCTTTTACTGCAGTTCAGGTTACTTCTTCAGAGGGGAAAAATGTTGTAAACAGCTGAGTTAGATAAAATATTATAGGCAGTCAGACAGGGCTAGGTCCTCAAGGAGACAAAATTAAAGACAAGGTGACTTTTACAGTTTGAGAGAGGCAGATGCTTCCCACTGTGGGCCAGACCTCAAGACAAAAGAAAAAGAAAAAAAAAAACTCCCTGACTAATATTACAGCCCAAGAAGTGGTACAAAACCAGTGGGGACACGGGAAATATAGCTTGTTCTAGAGTTGTAAAAACCCAACTACTCAGACTCTTTTAACTAGTGTTCCTTGCTATTAAAATAGATTGACAATGGTGACCCATGTTAAAATGATTTAATAACCTAACCAAAGTGCCGCCATTCTGTTCTATATGTGCCCTCTTAGTAAACCATGTCAGCTGCTGTACAGAGCAAAACTAGTGAGTCAATGATATGACTCATCCCCTTAAAACCAGTGGGGAATGTTGTACCCTGTCAAAATTGACTCCATTTTGTTGCCCTTCTAACCTCGCCGAGTTCCGGTTCTGTATGCGCCGACCCCTCCCAATTCCTCACCCCTGTGACTCAAGTTTTATGATATCTGCTCCCCAAACCTTATCTCAATGAACTATTCCTCCCAATTCCTCACCCCTGTGACTCAAGTCTTATGGTATCTGCTCCCCAGGAACTAATGACCCTTCCTCTCTACCCCTTTCCCTGTTTTTGCAGTTTTCAGGCTTAAATACTGATCCTTGTCAATGCTCGGGGCGCACTTAGGCACTTTGTGCCTGGTGTTGCCGCTGAGTACCAGCTAAAATAAAGCGCTTCTTTTAACTTTTGGACTTGCCTCGTTGTCATCTGATTTTTGAGCTACAACATTTCTCAGACTTCAGATGTTCTACTCAGTCGTATTATCCCTTCTTAATTTTAAAATCATTTCTAGCGCTCCACTTTGGCAGCATATATACTAAAATTGGAATGATAAAGAGAAGATTAGCATGGCCCTTGCGCAAGGATGATACACAAATTTGTGAAGCGTTCCATATTTATAATGAGTAAGCTCCCATTGCTTTATGTAATGTGAAGAAAAAGATAGGCCATGAGAGAGGGGAAATTGAAAAGAGGGCTCCCATAACGGGCCCTAAACACGACCTCACTTCCTTCACAACTAGTCCAAACAGAATTTACAACTCTGGTTACAGGCGTCACAAGGCAATAATGCCTCTCTTGAGCTCATGTAACTGGAGATGGTCATGCTGAGTCGCTTCCCTACTTCCGGAGGACCACAGGCAGTGAAAATATGTGTGAAAGACTGAGGAGAAGGCTGACTCCATCCAGAAGCCACAGGCCACAGTGTGGGAGCTCTGCAACCATTACAGACACCCTAAGGAAGGTGCCCCCAGTACTGACCTCGACTGATGAAAAAAATCAACTGACCTATGTGAAGTCCACCCAAGCCCAAATATCAATGGCACCACAAAAAGGAAAACCCCAGGGCAAGTCTTGCTGGGCCCAGAGTCTTCTAAGAGCTCTGGACAGGTCTCCTCAGAGTCAAGCACAAAAATCCTGGACAGACAAAGAAGTGCTGAGTGGGAAAATGAAGTCACAGCTACCAGGCTCCCAGACACAGAAAGGAGCCTAGTATCCACCCACCCTGACTGGGTTACCAATGCAAAGCACTTTGCAGGGAACTACATTGAGCTCAGGCCTGTGTGGTCCATGCAGGCAGTCAGGGCGCACTTGCTCCCCAAGCCCTTTGTGCCAGTCTTTCTGGGCAGTGAAACCCAATATCGCCCCTTCTGCCTGAGCCCCTCCACGACCTACATCTCTACCCGACATACCCTGAGGATGGATAGAAACATCACCATGCCACGTCTGGGACTTTCGTCTCTGTTGTGGGCCTCAAGGATGAAGTTAGAGATGTGTGCTATTTGGACAGTAAAGAGCTTTTCATCACAACATGTGTTGAGAAAGAAAGACCCACGTTCTGTGTCACCTTAGCGGGAATTAGAAGAAACTTTTCAGCTCTCCGAGACAGAGAACAAATGTGAACTCCTAACCGTGCATCCCTTCCTGCATCAGAACAGCCTAAGGTGCCTTGTTTAGAAGATCCATCTACCAACCACAGAGCTGCAGGCCTCTGGAGAAAGATTTTTTGTGCCAATGACCACACATTTCAAGCCAAACATCAGTGCAGGCTTGCTCACTGTGCCCTCTGCACAGACCGTGTAGGGGGATTGGGACACCTGGTGTACAAGTGCATTGACTGTAAGATCTTGGTGCACAAGAGGTGCCACACACTGGTCACAATTGAATGTGGGTAACATTCCTCACCACTGGACCCCATGATGCCAATGAATCAACCTCCCACAGCTTCAGATCCCACAAGGACCCTAAGCCTGTCTCATCTTTCTAGTTACCACAGTTTGGAACAAGTTGCTGAAGATAAAGAGGTAAAGAACACCAGAGAAAGTGGCCAAGCTCCATCTAGGCTGTGTCCTCAGGACTTCAGTTTCCTCCAGGTGATAAGGAGAGGAAGTTATGCAAAAGTGTTCTTGGTTCAACTGAAAAACACAGATTGAATGTTTGCAATAAAAGTGGTGAAAAACATCTTGCCAACTATCATGGGGTAGAGACAGAGAAGTGTGTATTGCAGCAGGTATCATGCCATGCTTTCCTTGTTGGGCTCCATTCTTGCTTTCACAAAGAAAGCAAACTGTGTTTTGTTGTAGATCATGGGATTGGAGGAGATCTCATGCTGCACATGCAGTGCTATGGAATACTTCCAGAGCCACATGCCAGGTTTTGAGATGCAGAGATCAGCTGAGCACTTAGCTAACTTCACCAGTGAGAGGTCCTCTCCAGAAACCTGAAATCTGAAAATTTATTACTTGATTCAGAAGGTCACATCAAGCTCACTGACTACTGTATCTGTAAGGAATCCAATATTAGAAACAGGAGGTGAAAATAATTGACACAATCTTTGAAAGAGAAAAAAATCATGCAAGCTTTGGTACTGAAAGTTGAAATTGAAGACCTCAAGTAAAATGTATTAAAAGAAAAAGTATAGCACATAAAAAATTAGAGATGAAAACAAGTGGTTCATAAAATTAAAGTGATCAGTAATTATGACTATTTTTTCAATAATTAAAAAGTAAATGAAATGTATACAAGAAAGACAACATACAATTCTAATCTTTAAAAATAAGCAAAAGTTGAAATACATCACATAACACTGTGATTATGATTATTTATTGAACAGTGTTGTACAGTTAAGAAATTAATGGTATGGCCTTCAAAAATTTAATAAGTAGGGCCAGCAAGATAGCCCAGCTGACTAAGCACCTGCTTACACAAGTGCAGGGACTGGGATTCAATCCCTGGCACCACATGTTGCACTGGCCCTCCCCCAAGAACACTGAGCTGACCATTGAGACCTGGTATGGTGGCTCACACCTGTAATCCCAGCACTGGCAAGGTTGAAAACAGAAGGATCACTACAAGTCTGAGCTGCATAGTGAGACCCTATACCAAATACATTTTAAAAAAATAATAAGTAGTTGGCCTGTTGACACACAGAAACACTGAGGCTCAGGTAGGTGGATTTCTGCAAGTTTGAGGCCAACCTGCACTACATTGAATTCAAAGCCAACCTGAACCTGTCTCAAAACAAATGAAAAAAGCAAACAAAATTTAATAAGTAGCTTAGTAGCTTATAAAAGTAAGCCTTTTATCAAAATATTCTGGCAAAAAAAATGTTTATCAACTACTGAAAAGGATTTCTGGGCAGGGAGATGGCTCAGTAGAATAAGCACTTCCCTGGCAAGCGCAAAGGTCTGAGTTCAATCCCTGGTTCCAACAAAAATTAAAAAAAAAAAAAAGAAAAAGAAAACAAAACGATTTCTAAAGGCTTGTTTGTTTGTTTGTTTGTTTAATTTTTTTATAAAATTGAAAGTGCTATTTTTCATTGTTCCATTAGGGGGAGGTAAAACATAAAAAATTTTGAAGCAAGATCACAAAATTGAAACCCAGATTGCGGGTTCAATTTCAAATGTTTTTGTGAGATTTACTTCGAGAGATTAAGAGTGCATGCTTGCTTTGGAGTCTAGCTGCATTCTGACCATTTTTAATGGAGATACACATACAGTAAATCTCTGACTTTGGAACCACTTAAGGCAAACTGGATGCTCAGTCTGACAAAATGAGTCATACAGTACACCTGTGAAAGTTTGTGACTCCAGTGTTCATAATTCAGTGGTTTACTACTTGAAATGGCATTAGGGAAGTTTAGTGGCCAAAATGTAATAAAGAGAGCTCAACACACTATCTTCTCTCTCTCTCTCTCTCTCTCTCTCTCTCTCTCTCTCTCTCTCCCCCCCCTCCCTCTCTCCCTCTCTCCCTCTCCCTCTCTCCCTCTCCCTCTCTTTTTCTCTTTCCCACTGTCCCTCTCTGTCCTCCCTCACACACACACACACACACACACACACACACACACACACACACACAGAGTTCATGCTATGCCCAAGAATTAATAACCCCCTCCATATAACATGGTTTTGAGACTTTTTTTTTCAGGGCAATACAGTGATAACTTTCACCCTTTTCTTGTGAAAGAAGTATAAGCATTGAATGCTAGGTGTCATAAAAATAGTAATGTGTGTTCTGATGAGTAAGTGGAAAGTAACAGAAAAACCAAGGACAAAGTAGCTCCTGCCATAAGTCATTTTTATTCAGAAACATCAAGACTCTCTGTCTGGATTACATAACACTAAATAGTATTTCTTTAAAATTTCTGGACCACAATATCTATAAATAAATAAAAATCTTAAATTTATCATATAAATTATTTTAACTTTTTTGAAAATAAACACTACTTTCATGAAAAATATTCAACACCTCTGGCCATTAGAAAAATACAAATTAAAAGAGCACTGAGATTTTATTTTACTCCCCGCAAAAATGGCAACTATCAAGAAATTAAGCAGAAAAAAAAAAAAAAGAAAAGAAATTAAGCAGCATCCAATACTGGAGAGACTGTGGTGAAAAAGGAATCCTTGTTAATTGTTGGTGGGAGTATAAACCAGTACAACCATTAAGAAAATCAATAATGAAACAAAAAAAGGGTTGGCCAAATAGCTCAGTGGATTAAAGTGCCTCTGAGCAGGCACAGGGACTAGGGTTTTTTTCCCCTGGCCTGCTGTGAAAGCCCTGCCCCAGGCATACTGAGATTGGGTATGGTGGCATATGTCTATAATCCCAGCTCATGGCAGTCTGTAAACAGGTGGATCACTATGAGTCTGATCTAGTAGTGAGACCCTGAACACCTTGTAGACCTTCCCCTAAAATACAAAAAAAAAAAAAGAAAAAGAAAGAAAGAAAGAAAGAAAGAAAGAAAGAAAGAAAGAAAGAAAGAAAGAAAAGAAAGGAAAAAAATAGTCAATATTGAGATTTCTCAAAAAACTAAAACTAGAAATTCCACAGGACCCAGGGATCTCCCCTCTGGTTGTCCTACCCAAAGTGTTGAAGACATCACACAACAATGATGAATGCATATCTGTGTTTATAGCAGCGTAGTTCATAATAGCCAAATATTTGTTAAGCAACCTATTTGTTAACCAACAGATGAATGCATAAAAACTGTGACATTTATACAGAATAGAATACTACTCTGCCTTAAAGAAGGATAAACTTCAGTCATTTGTAGGACAACAAATGCACATTGGGATTGTAATATTTGGTGAAATAAATTAGACATGTAAGCTTAAATAACACATGGTTTGCCTTACATGATTAACCCAAAACACAAAGAACAAGAAAAGGTAGGTAGATAATGAGAAATAGGGCAGGGAGAAGAGTGAGGAAGGGGTAAAAGGAAGCAGTATTGGTTAAACAGAAAATTTAAATTACTCCTTAAAAGAAATGTAACTATTATGTATTGTAAATATATATAAACAGAAAATAATGGAAAAATAAATAATATAAGCATTTGTAATTACATTTGCCTAGATATTTTGTTGCCCATGAATAGGATCTTTAACATTTAAATTCAT